AACATGTAAGGAAGCCCAAGGCGAAGCCGGGCTTCCGCGCTAGTTATGAATATAAACAATGGGCGAATATTCCCAGAAGTATATGCGAGTAAATCGACTTCCAAACTTTTGTTGTTTTGAAGGAGCATTGTGCGCCAGGACGCCGACAACGATATAACTTATATGTTTGAAGCTGTTAGTGATTAAAGAAGAATCTCTCTTTTCTTGACAGCCCAGTTGAATAAAGTTTAGAATCGAGTCACGGGCTCTTTGTCCCGTCAGTAACAGGGGCCTAATAACGGGACGAACATGCCCCGTAACCCCATCGGTGAGTGCCCCTTTAGCATTGTTACTATAACCGATCGCAACCGACAGGACAACGAGCCCGTGGTTCAACCGTTAGGGCCTTGGACAAATGAGTAGTACTGGAATTAGTATGAATTTTACACGGCAAAGGTGTTATACAATACTTCCGACATAAGACTAGATAAAAACGCAGACACGTGTATCGTCGATGTTTTTGCTGCAGGAGGATAGCGGCGAATGGGGGGCTGGAATGATCATTTCTGGCTTATTAGTCGTCATCAGCCGGCCATACTCTACGCCAGGTGTTGCAAGCCCTCCGATTTGAACCCGCGGCCTGCTCGTTCGAAATCCGATGTTTTAACCCTTTAGCCACGGGCTCACTGTTTTGTTCTACATGTGTACAGGTAGAATGGTATTACTGGTCAAGACAAGGGAGACTGGAATGACTATTTCTGGTTGATAAACCGTCATCAGCTAGCCATACCCAACCTCAGGTGTTGCGGCACCCGAAGTTCGAACCTAGGGTCTGTTGGTTGGAAATCGAACGTTGTAACTGACTGCGCCACGGGTTTGCTGGCTTGTCGATCTTGATCGGGAATATAAACAATGATGGATGAACCGGTTACGGGATGCACACGTTCCAAACGAAACAGAAAAGACAACGAGTTCGTGGCGCAGTGGATTAGAGCACTGGCCTTCTAACCAGCAGATCGCAAGTTCGAGCCTCGAGTGCTGAAACACCTGGGCTTGGGTATGAGTGGCTGATGACGGCATATAATTCAGAAGTGACCATTCCAGTCTTCCTTGTTTTTGTGGGCAATGTCATTCTGCCCATTTCACTAGCCACCATGTGACTGCTATTGGGGCTGAATTAGGCCGGTAACCTATCGGTGAACGCTCAACTACCATAGGTGCGTGTACGGTTGTGCATGTAACCTATCAGTTTGCGTTGTATATGATATTATTTAGTCAAAAATGTCAATGTTAAAAACAGATTTGACATCCAGAGAAGAGTATCGGGAGATCTCACCTGGCTATGTTTCTCTCTCTTTACTACAAAAATAGCCTGATTTCAAGTTAAGTAAACTTTTTTGCATGCATTATTTTCCCGTTTATAACGCTCTACCACGTTCTCTGCTCCAGGTATTGGTACAGTCTGGAGCTCTATAGCATTGTACAGGCCTGACAAATGCTACTGAACCACAGATGTGCAGCAGACTTCGCACATGTGTGAGATGCTAGGAGATATAAACAATTTGACCCTGCCTATGTTTGCATCGCTGTCGTGAGTTTTTTCGGTCAAAACGAGGAAAACAAACAATGATTAAATGAGCATACTTACCTCAGCTACGTTATGACTTGTAAGCACGGCTGACAGCTGCCGCCATTTCCCGATTCCAATGCAGCAGTGGTCGATCCCGCCGTGAGTGGTGTTGTCTGTAGAGGTGAAAGCTCGGTAGCCGTGATGGCATAGTCGGTTAGTGGGGTGAGTTTTGAAGCCGTCATACTAGCACCTATGTACGGCATCTTACAGTCTTGTTGTGGCACGTAGAAAAGGGGCGATAAATCGCTCCCTCCGTCCTTCGCCAGATCATTTTCGGACTTGGAGTCAGACTTTTTTGGAAAAGATGGTTGTTCGTTGATCAGCCTACTGGAAGTGACAGCGGAGATGGAGGAAGCTTGCACGGGGGTCGGCGAAGATGAAGTTGGTGCGAGTCCACCAAATACCTCGGGCGCTGTTGAGGGTGTAGGTTGCGATTGGTAGATCATATCACAGGAATAGGGGTTGCCAAAATAGTCTGGCACAGCGACCATGCAGGATTCATACGGTTCTGTTGTGTGGGGGACAGATATTGAGGAATACTGGGGGTACTCTAGCCACTCCTCCGCTGACTGTTGAAGGGGCCGTATCAGGCCCCCGTAAGGAAAGTCACTCAACCGGGGGGCATCGTCTGTGAGTCCGGGAAGAGGCATTAGAGAAAGGTCTAGTGCCGAGGGGGGTCTGTGTGCCATGTTTATTGTCCCTCCAACCTGTCTGCCAGAGGCTT